GACCTAAATATGACACCCATGATTATAACACCCCTAAAAGATAACACGAGAGAAAATCTGAAGAACTTGAGTATGACAATAACTTTTTAGATACAATACCAAGGACATAATTCATCAAAGAATCATTGAAAAACTGGTCTTCATTAAAATTAAAAACTGTGGCCAGCCAAGATGATGGCATAGGGACACATGGCTTGCCTCTTCACACAACCACATCAAAATTACAACTAAAATATAAAACAACCATCACTCAGAACCATCAGAAATTGAGTTGAATGTAAGTCTGACAACTACAGAGTTAAAGAAACCACATCCATCCAGACTGGTAGCAGGGGCACCAGGCTGTTCTCTCACCCACATGTGGTGGATAAAAATTCAGGAGGGATATTTCAGGAGCAAGGAGTCCCAGCCCCATACCAAGCCCTTCAGCCCAGGTTTCCAGTGCCAGGAAAGTAAGTCCCCACAACTTCTGGTGGCAAAAACTAGTAGATATTCAGTTGGTGGAAGAAACTTCTGGAGCCCCAAGAATATCTTCTTTAAAAACCCACATATGGACTCACCTACTTAGACTCACTCCTTCTGAGCTCTAGCACTGGGGTGGCAGCTTAAAGAGCACCAGTGGCATACTAGGAGAGGCTGAAGTATCTGGCATCATAGCAAGAAGAGGCCATTGCCCCTCTTCTAAGCCACACCCCTTCAGAGCCACAGAGCCAGCAGGCTGGTGCCATATTTGAGACTTTATCAACCTGGCTAATATTGTTTGAGCCACCTTGGCGATTTCCTAGAAACTCTACCCCACCCAACTTACAGGCCCACCCAAGCTGCTTTTTCATATGAATGCCTGGTCTTGGCTCATGTATCACAACTTTCTAAATCCCATCAAACAAGCAACAGCTGGCCTCAGTGAGCTCCAGCCAGGCACTAGCAGCTGCTAGTCTAGTTTCATAGTGTGTGCTTGCCTGGGTATCTCCAAGCTCAGCACAAGTAGCAGCCTTCTCAGATTGCTTTATAGCTCAGGGAGGGCAGCCCCAGGAAAAACACAAGTGGGGGCTGACCTTGGCCTTCACTGTGGGAGGAAACCTCAGGGCCAGTGCACTCAGAGGACAACTACAGACCATGTTGGAGAATCACCACCCTGCCTCTGCACAACTGCTCCTCCACAGAGGGCAGACGTTGGTGGTAAGTGGTCATAGCCAATCCTCACAGATGACTGGCCTAGGTAAATCCCTCTCATAAATCTTCCAAAAAAAACCAAGACTCAACTACAAAAGGAGGGTGTACTCAGCCCACACAAAAGGCAAACCTCGAGTACCCAGCTTGGGTGACAGGGGAGGTTGTGCCACTGGACCTTATAGGACACCTACTACATTCAGCTATACTACCAAGACAAGGAGTCAAAACAACTCTACCCAATACTTAGAAACAAACACAGGGAGACTGCCAAAATGAGGAGACAAAGAAACATGGCCTAAATGAAAGAACAGATCAAAACTCCCGAAAAAGAGCTATATCAAATGGAGATATTTGATATAGCTCTAAATAAGCAATCTACTAGATGCAAAGTTCAAAACACTGTATATAAGGATGCTCAAGGAAATTAGTGAGGACATAAACAGCATAAAAAAGATCCAGTCAGAAATGAAGGATATACTAATTGAAATAAAGAACAATTCACAGGGAAACAACAGTAGAGTGGATGAAAGCCAAGAATCAGATCAATGATTTGGAACATAAAAAAAAAAAAAAACAAATAATAACCAATAAGAACAACAAGAAGAAAAAAGAATCCAAAAAATGAGTATAGTGTAAGAAGCCTCTAGGACAACTTCAAGCATCCAATATTCACATCATAGGGGTGCCAGAAATAGAAGAGAAAGAGCAAGAAATTGGAAATCAATTTGAAAAAACAATGAAAGAAAACTTTCCTAATTTAGTGAGGGAAATAGATGTGCAAGTCCAGTAAGCACAGAGAGTCCCAAACAAGGTGGATGCAAAGAGGCCCACTCCAAGACACATCATAATTAAAATGCCAAAGGTTAAAAATAAGAAGAGAATCCTAAAAGCAGCATGAGAAAAGCAGAGAGTTACCTGCAAAGGCGTTCCTGTAAGATTGTCAGCTGATTTAGCAAAAGAAACCTTTGCAGGCAAGAAAGGGCTGGCAAGAAGTAGTCTAAGTGATGAAAAGCAAGGACCTAAAACCAAGATTACTTTACCCAAATAAAACTGATTATGCTATTACAATTGTCCCAATATATTTTCTCCATACCCCTCTCCACCCTGCACACTCATTCCTGCATTACCCTCCGCCCTTAGTTCATATCCTTGGGTTATACATATAAGTTCTTTGGCATCTCCATTTTTTCCTATACTATTCTTAACCTCCCCCTGTCTATTTTGTGCCTGCCATTTATGCTTCTTATTCCTTGTACCTTTTCCCCCATTCTTTCCTTCCCCCTCCCCACTAATAACCCTCCACATGATCTCCATTTCTATGATTCCATTCCTGTTCTGTTTGCTTACTTTTTGTTTTTGTTTTTTAGGTGCTGTTGTTGATAGTTGTGAGTTTGCTGTCATTTTACTGTGCATATTTTTTATCCTCTTTTTCTTAAATAAGCATATAATAAGGGCTTGGTGATGATGAACTCCTTTAACTTGATACTATCTCAGAAGCACTTTATCTGCCCTTCCATTCTAAATGATAGCTTTGCTGGATAGAGTAATCTTGGATGTAGGTCCTTGCCTTTCATGACTTTGAATACTTCTTCCCAGCCCCTTCTTGCCTATAAGTTTTCTTTTGAGAAATCAGCTGATAGTCCTATGGGAACTCCTTTGTAGATGACTCTTTCCTTTGCTCTTGCTGCTTTTAAGATTCTCTCCTGTGGGCTCCGGCCAAGATGGAGGCATAGGTAGAAACCCTTTGCTTCCTGGTACAACCAAAAGGAGGATAACAACCAATCTAAAAATGATAAACAACCAAAAGTGCCAGAAAAAATCAAACTGCATGGAACTCCAACAAGGAAGAAATTAAATAAATATTCAACCAGAACTGTAGGAAGGAGACCCACAGCAAGGAAGCAGACCATGCAGGTGGGCTGGCTGAGAGGTCCCACAGCAAGGTGGCAGACTGCATGAGTCAAGCAGGACTGGCTGAACAGGACTCAAATCTAGCAGGACTGGCTGAGTAAGACTCAAATATAGCCATAAACTACATCAGGGGTTGGCACCATGGGAGAAACTCCCAGTCTCACAAGAGTTTGTTGGAAAGTGGAAATAGAGCAGAGTAAATGAGCAGCATTCTTCTCTCCCTGACCCCTCCCCGACAGATAGACCCCTCCCCTCCCCACAACACAGCAAAGAGGGTTGCCCTGCCCTGGTGAACACCTAAGGCCCCACCCCTTTACAACATAAGTTGTAAGCGACAAAAATATGGCCCAAATGAAAGAACAGATCAAAGCTCTGGAAAAAGAACTGAGGGACAAGGAGATAGGCAACCTCTCAGATGCAGAGTTCAAAAGACTGGTAATCAGGATGCCTACAGAACTGATTGAGCTTGGCTGCAAAATGAAGGAACAAATGAAGGCTACCCAAAGTGAAATAAACCAAAATATTTAGGGAACCAACAGTGATGGGAAGGCAACAGGGACTCAAATCAATGATTTGGAACAAAAGTAAGAAATACACATCCAACTGAAACAGAATGAAGAAACAAGAATTCAAAATATGAGGAACCTCTGGGAAAATTTTAAACATTCCAATATCTGAATCATAGGGGAACCAGAAGAAGAACAAGAGCAAGAAGTTGAAAACTTACTTGAACAAATAATGAAGGAAAATTTCCCCAATCAGATTAAAGAAATAGACTTCCAGGAATTCCAGGACCCAGAGAGTCCCAAAGAAATTGGACCCAAAGAGGAACACACCAAGACACATCATCATTAAGTTACCCAAGATTAAAGATAAAGAGAGAATCTTAAAAGCAGCAAGAGAAAAGGAGAGAGTTACCTACAGAGGAGTTCCCATAAGACTATGGGCTCATTTCTCAAAAGAAACATTGCAGGTAAGAAGGGGCTGGAAAGAAGTATTTGAAGTCATGAAAGGCAAGGACCTACATCCAAGATTACTCTATCCAGCAAAGCTTTCATTTAAAATGGATGGGCAAGTAAGGAGAGCTAAAGGAGTTCATCATCACCAAGTCCTTATTTTATGAAATGTTAAAGGGACTTATCTATGAAATAGAAGAGAATCAGACCTCCAGACTTCTTTGAGGCCAACAGCCGCCCAACCTGGGACCTGGGGCAACTGGCTTAGCTGACTACCGTGGGCTCTGTGTCAAACCAGCACTTTTCAGGCAGCTGTTCCAAGGCATCAGAGGAGGTGCCAGCAGATGCTGCCCCAGTATCAGAGGAGCAGTAGCTGCTGCACAGTGCCAGCATCTGTAAGTGGTTCAACATGCATATGGGGTTCGGCTTCCTGTCCATGACTGCCTGCACTGGGTTCACGCTTGACCCACCAGTGGATGTCTTTGAGTACCAGAGTAAGATGCACATGGAGGACTTCTGAAGCCTGAAGGAGTATGAAGCAGTAGAGTTCACCTTTAAGAATTCCACCAAGGGCCTGTAATCTATTTGAGTTACCAGTCCTGGTGGGGTGTTCTGTATCGGAAGTGAGAGGCAGCCAAAAGGGAAGAACATGCAGAAGTGCAGATCAAAAGGAAACAGGTGCTATGACTGTGGGGATCTGTACCATCATGCCAAGGAATGCAAGCTGCCACCCCAGCCCAAGAAGTGCCAACTCTGCCAGAACATCAGCCATATGGTGGCCTCATGTCCATTGAAGGCCCAGCAGGCCCCCAGCTCACAGGGAAAGCCAGCCTACTTTCTGGATGAAGAAGAAATCCATGGCCCTGCCCTGCATCCTGATGCCCAGAACTGAGCTACAGTGGGTCAGAGGCCATCCTTTTGTGATCAGGAAGTTTCAAGGAGCAGGCATCAATCTGCAGAATGGAGAAAGTGGGGACAGGTTGGGTAAGGGGCAACTGGCACTGCCATGTATCTCAGGCCGAGTTCCATAGGTTCAACCCCTCTTCTTTCTTGGTTGGGGGAGGCAAAGGAACTCCAACCACACTCTATCCAAATGCATGTGAGAGCTTTGGGGGAAATCCCCCGTGCATGCTTTATCTGAGTCTCCAGCTTCTGAAAGTGACCTAGATAGGGAAGTTGTTTTCATTTTAAAGAAGGATATGTAATGATAATATTTCCCCTGCTAAAGTGAAAAGATTACCATGAGACCAGATTGATGAACCCAGCCCACAAACGACTACATTCTGTGAGAGGGAATCTCTCAAGGGTACAGCAGGGCTTTTCCTTATCCCCCAACTTTGGGATAGGGTGCTGAGAATTGCCCCAAGCAATGGGCTGTGACTATAGGCAAAAAAAATGGTTGGGGAACAGCTGCAGACCTGCTGCTCCTAAGCTCCTTCCCACTCCATTTCTGGGCCAATGCAATTTTATTTGGTCCCTTGGACAGCTGCACTTTGGGTCCCACTTTCTTCAGGATGACAACTGCATTAGCTGTGTGCGAATGATGTATCTTGTGCATTTTAACTTTTTTTTCATAATATAAATATGCTGGTTTTGTATTTTTGTGTATTTCAATCTAAGGCCCTCATTCCTACACTCTGTTCTAAGGTACATGAGCAGTCTCAGGGATAAGTGGGCAGCAGCTCAGTCTGTACGGCAGGAATACTTTTTGTTTTTATCATCGGGGAGAACAACTATTTGGAGTGTATAGCCTATTGAACTACCTCATTTTTGCCAGTTAGAGCTGGGTTTTTCTGCCATAGTGTCCTGTTGAAACCCTTCCATTTTTAATGTTTTGTGGAAGACTAGATTTTAACTGAGTGGCCCCATTAGTTGATCTCCTACTGGAAGATTGCAAAGTGGTCTGAACAGGAATAAGTGATTGAGGCAGAGGTTAGGAGAGGTGGGGCTAGATGAAAGGCACAGAGGGGAAACCAAGATTAGGTGAGGGCTGTCTATATATATGTGACCAAGGATTCCTGTTCCAAACCTCTAACTTCCAGGTTCGGGACTCTCATTAGACACCAGATCCATCCCTCACTAGACTGGGCTAGGCGTATCATGCACAGGAAGGGGTGTGTGTGTGTGTGTGTGTGTGTGTGTGTGTGTGTGTGTGTGTTAAAAACAAAAAACAAGTTCATAAAGATAGGTTTTAAAAACAATACCTCTCTACCCATTTTGAGCTGTCCTAGGATGGGTAAATGAAGCAATGACTAAATTCCTCAACCTTTAAAAATTCTTTGTTTTTCCATTTGGCCTCTAGAGAGACCATAAGTGATAACTTCTTTGTGGCACCTAGAGCTAGTGTCCTGCCCTGCTGCAGCAGTGACGAGTCATAGTAGCTGAAGGAGAAAAGCAGGTTTCCTTTACGTACTGTGAAATCACCAAAAACCTACCTCACTGTGTTGAAATGGGGCAAATGCAATAGGATGCATTGGGTTATGTGTGTCTGATCCTGGGTTCTTGTCTCCCCCAGTTGCTGCCTCCTCTAGTTATTGTATTTGTCTAGGCTTTGTAAGACTTCACAATAGCTGATTTGGTGATTGCTAGGTGGCCTAGTTTGCATAATGTGTTGGTCTTTCTCCATGTTTTGGGGGGGGGGTATTGTTTACAAACTTCTTTTTGCATTGAGAAAAAATAGCTAAAGTGTCTTTAATGAAAGGTTCTGCACCAGGCAACAAGGATCTGAAACATAAGCTTGGGGACCCCTCTTAAAGTGGGGGTCTTGAATCATCCTTTCTTTTGTTTCCTCTTCCCCTCTTTTCCAATTTGGACCAAATCTTCTGTCCTAAAAATGACTCCTACCCTGTCTTCTTTTTTATCTGTACCCCACCACAAAAGCTCATATACCCACACATACACATTCAATGTGTGGTGTGTCATCCCATCTCTTATATGATTTCTGAAAAAATTCGGAGGCTAAAAATATCCCATCCCTTTTTCCCAATACCCTGAGTCCAGATCATTCTTTGATATCTGATTCATGTCAAACCCTTAGATTGCTGTACTTTAATCTCTAATCCTAGGGTAGAGAAGCAATGAGGAGGCCTTTCATTTTGAATGTGGTATTGGGAGACCAAGAAAGAGAAGATGAATGTATATCCAAGTCACTCAGGAACTTTTATGCAGGTGCAAAAAACTTATGTCAAAGTAGCCACAAGATTGTTTAATAGGAGACAGACAAATATAACTCATGTTTGAAACCAAAGCATTTTTATGAAATGCTAGAAACCAAAGCATTTTTATGAAATTTTGAATTGATTGGGATGGAGGGAGGGAGGGTAGGAAAGCATGTACCTGTCTGTTCTTTCCTCGATTCCTTCTCATTTCTGAACTACAGGAGACTGAGCCCCCTTCAGCTTTGGTGACCTCCATTACTGGGGACTGTTTGATGGTTGGTTTTGCTATGCCGGGCACTTCCACTTGCTATCTATCATTTTGTAAAACACATGCTGACTTTTTCCTTTTCCTTATTTCCCTGGGAAAATGAAATAAAAGAATAAAGGCTTATTTATACAAAAAAACTATGAACAGTAAAATGACAACAAACTCATAACTATCAACAACTGAATCTTACAAAAATGAAAACACAAACTAAGCAAACAACTAGAACAGGAACAGAAATCAGAAAAATGAATATCATGTGGAGGGTTTTCAGTGGGGAAGGGGAGGGGAAGAATGGGGGGAAAGGTACAAAGAATAAGAAGCATAATTGATAGGCATAAAATAGACAGGGAGAGGTTAAGAATGGTATCAGAAACAGAGAATTCAAAGAACTTATATGTACAACCCATGGACATGAACTAAGGCAGGGGGAATGCTGGGGGGCAGAAGGGGGACAAAGAGAGAAAAATGGGACAACTGGAATAGCATAACCAATAAAATATATTTTAAAAACTTGTGGGAACAACTCTGAGAGAAAAATTTATGGTGAAAAATGCACATATGAAAAAAATTTTAAAAACCTCAAGTAAACAATGTAACTACACCACAAGTGGACAAAAACAAGTTACCATATTTTTCGGACTATAAGATGCACTTTTTCCCCAAAATTTGGTGAGAAATGGGGGTGCGTCTTATACTCCGAATCTATCTTACCAGACTTGCTGGGGGGGCAGCAGTGGAGCGGGGTCACAGGAGGCAGGAGCAGCTTCACAGCTGCAGGAAGCCAGCAGCGGCAGCGGCAGGAGTGGGGCGATGCTGTGGGCCCTGGGCTGGGAGGAGGGGCTGTCTCGGCAGTAAAAAACAAGAGAAGCAGGAGCCGGGTCCCCGCTGCAGCATACTATACTGCTGTGGCAGAGGGTACAGGTGGTACACGCGCGTTAGAAAAAGAAAGCCTGCAGCGCCCCTAGGTGCCTCCATCATGTGATTGGTGTGTCCCCATTAACATTAACATAGGCAAATTCCACTGTAGGGTCACCTGTCAATGTGGCCTGCAGCTGTTACAAAACTACAACTCCCATCATGCTTGGACAGGTTGGGATGATGAGAGCTGTAATTTGGCAACAGCTACAGAGCCACACAGGTTGTGCAAAATTGCTCTACCCACACAAGAGTGTTGCACAACCTGTGGCCTTCCAGCAACAGATCTCCCCATAACAGTGCATCATCCACTGACGTTCTCAGCTACTGTGCCCCCATAACTATGAAGGACGCAGTGCTGATAGTTCTGCCATTACTGTATTTTGTTGTAGAAAGATACCATAGCGTACTGTAGTATCCTGCTGAATCTACTGTAATTGTGGAAAGATGTCAAAGCAGAAAAGGATTTCATATAAAATCCCTGATTTTAGACCAATATCCCTGATGAATAAGATGTTAAAATTTTAAATAAAATATTAGCATACTGCATTCAAGAACACATTAAAATAATTACACAACACAACCAAGTAGGATTTATCCCTGGGATGCAAGTTTGGTTTGACATACACAGTTCAATAAGTGTAATACATCATTTTATAGGATAAAAATCATATGATCGTCTCAATAAATGCAGAAAAAGCATTTGACAAAACACAACATCATTTAATGATTTAAAAAAAAAACTGAACAGTTTGGTTACACAAAAAAATATGCCTGAACATAATAAAGGTTATATACGACATACCCCACAGGTAGGATTTTACGCAACAGAAAATATTAGAAGCTTTTCCTCTAAGGTCAGGAACAAGACGATGTTGCCCACTCTCACCACTCTTACTCAATAGTACTGAAAGTCCTAGCTAGAGCAATTATGCAAGACAAAGAAGTAAAAATCACCCATATCAGAAAGGAAGAAGTAAAATTGTTGCTATATGCAGATAATATGATTTTGTGTATAAAAAATCCCAAAGATTCAAACGAAAAAAAAACCTATTGGAACTAAGCAACAATTTCAGTAAGTTGCAGAATATAAAATCAACATAAGAAAATCATTTGCATTTCTATATATTTAACAAAATATCTGAAAAAAATAGAAAAAATTATCCCATTCACAATAGCAACAAAAAACAGTAAAACACCTCGGAATGGATTTAACTAAGTATATGAAAGATCTATACAATGAAAACTATAAGACTTTGCTAAAAGAAATCAAAGAAGACACAATGAAAAGACATCCCATGTCCATGAATTGGAAGAATTCTCATTGTTAAAGTGTCCCTACTCCCCAAAGCCATTTATGTATTTTACACAATAACATAAAAATACCAGATAGAATGGTGGCATTTCAAAGAAAGAGAAAAAAACAGTCCTAAAATTTGTATGGAATCACCAAAGAACCTGAATAATCAAAGTAATGTAGAGGAAAAAGAGCAAAGCCAAAGATATCACACTTCCTGATTTCAAACTGTACTGCAAGTTATAAGAATCAACATAGTGTAGTATTGTACTGACATAAAATCGGACATACAGACTAATGGAAGAGAGTAGAGAGCCCAGAATTAAACCTCCACATATATG